TGTTTGGCCAAGTCGAACCGAAATAAACCATGTCTTGCACCCGAGAGAACCCGGCCCGGCAACTCGCACCCGCCCCATCGGCCCTTCTTTTTATTGTGGTAATCTAGCTTTTGTTTCAGCCCTTCAAGCTCTTGATTTTCGGCCCATTTTACGAGAAAACTTTTGGCCAAAATTGTATTTAATCTTGGCCCAATTTTGTGAGATTTCCAAATATTTTTTCTCTCTCGCATCGTCAACAGCAGAACCCTATTTCTCACCTCTCGATCCCGCAGCTTCTCTTATTTCTCACCCTCTCGCGACGCATAAACAGAGAAGAAGAAAAATCTGCTCCTTCAACTCTCGTTCTCTCTCTCTCTCTCGTTAAAATCTCTCTCACTCTTGTTTAACCAGCATGCAAGACCAATCATCACCATCATCCATCTTGCGTCTGCTGCTCGAGAATCGCCGGTCACCAGCCCTGCTCCGTCGCACAACCAGCCAGTGTTTTAAATAGCGCAATTTTGCGCGCTACGTAGCGCACTATAGCGCATTTTTATCCAAAAACGCGACATAGCGTATATAAGTTCGCGCAGTTCCAGAAAAGCGCACGCAATTTACGCCATATTTTGCACTATTTACTCAATTTACGCTATATTTTACGCTATTTACGCTATTTGCGCTATTTCTCGCTATTTGAGCAATCCTTATTTATAGGCAAAAAATAAAAAATAAAATAAATAAAAAGGGCACAAAATTGAGTAAATTCTCCCATGGCGAATCTGAGTGATTATTAGATCATGTTTCGTATTTCTCTGAAAAAAAATATTTGAAAACTTGATATCAACATGGCTATGATTGACCTTTTAGACTATTAGAATAATGTGATGTTTATGTTTCTTAAGCTCAAAAGTGAAATGAGAAGAAAACTTCATTTTTCTCCAAATGATGAGGAGATGGAAGAATTTGATGATGTTGTATCAATTATATTTTGTAGTGAAATTCTCCATAACTTTGATAGAATTGACGATGATAGTCAAATTCAATTGGATAACACCGATCATTTTAAGATTTTGAGTCTTTACTTTAAACATTAAAACTTTGTTGTTTAAAGAATTAATATTTAAATGTCATTTTTTAGATTCAATGTCCAAGTTAATTTATGGTTTAAGACCATTTTATTTATTCTCTTGTTTGGTTATATATTATTATTTTTGGCATTAAAAGTGAATTATTCGAGTAGCTTACGCAATGCGCTACGCTATTTACGGTACGTAATATAAGGAAAGCGCAACGCATTGCGCGATGCGCGTTTTAAAACACTGCAACCAGCACACCGGCGCCCCCTCCATTCCCGGCGTGATTCATGTTCCAGCCGCGCAAGTCTCCGGCGAGCCCCGTTACTGATCACCGACGTTCGTTTAGCTACTCACGCACGATGCCTCCATCACTACCGTGAACCAGCAGGTTGTCCTCCCCGCTCGATGTTCCCGGCATTTCGTTATTCGATCGTGCGCCTCCATCGACGGTCCTGCTGCTCCGCCGTGCTCCTCCGCAGCAGCATCTCGTCTCTATTCTTCGTGACCAAACCCCGCGAGCAGCTTTCAGATGTCCCACGTGAACCTGTCGTCCCCATTCATGCCGCTGATCACGCGCATCACTACCGTCGGC